AATTAAAAAAAATAACAGAATAATATTTTTTATATATATTTGATATTGTGATATTTGTTATTAGAATGTTCAGTTCGGCACATCACCAGATTCTAAATTCAAATCTGCGCTCGCGCTTTGGCTGGCGCTGAGCCAGAGACAGATGCGTTTTTGCAGTGCTGTGCATTATATCCAATCACACACGATTCTGTTGAGCTTATGAATTCAATGGCTAATCAGAGACGTTCAGATGAGTCATCGCCGAAACACCAGTGTTTTGTTCAGTGCACGCGCTCACCGACTAAATTCTGCTCTCTGGCGAATTCTCTCATCAGAAAAAAAAACAAAGTGCAGATGTGCGTACGATGTAAGCAAGATATTCATTTCAAAGTGTAAACAGCTTCATTATAATGGGAGTTCTGAGAGTGCTTGAACTCTGGCTAGACTGAAGTCAATGATAATGTTCTTTGATAATGTAAATGATCTTTGCTCTCTTTCTGTAGAATGAAAGTGTTATAATTAGTAACTTACGATGTATTTATTAAATTCACATTAAAAGACAAAGTCAGTCATATTAAAAAATGTTATGACATGCCACCCATATCTGGCAGGCCTACTTATGTAAAAAAGTTTACACTAACATTTGGCTACTTAATACCCTGGTTATAATTGCAAAATCCTTTAAGGAAATAAAATCAGCTTTTTTTCCCCCAATCACTGTGGAAAGAAATCACATTTAGCCTAATGTTAACCATCATTATTTCCAAAGACATCAAAAGCAGAAGATACTTACAAGAGAACATTCTTATATAACACTTTGTGGATTGTGACAGATCTGCGATAGCAAAATCTCCCTAAACTAACCTTTTGTCACATTTCCACTTCAAATTGTCAAACTAGTATGAGAATAAATTAATGAGAGCCATCTAGTGACCGATTGCACTAATTAATCAAGTCCATTTTAAAAAGGCCTAACCATGTTTTTAATCATTTTTCAATCATTAAATTAATTAAAGGATTTAAATGTTTTTAGGGTAATAAAGAACAATAAAGGGATCTGTGTTTTTCTGTCAATATGGGGTGCTGTGTGTACATTAATGAGGAAATAAAATTAACTTAAATGATTTTAGCAAATGGCTGCAATATAACAAAGAGTGAAAAATTTAAGGGGGTCTGTACTTTCCGTACCCACTGTATATATATATATATATATATCTTTTTGTAATCAAATTATAATGAAGGTAATATTTTTAATAAAGATTTTTATAATAATGAAAGCAATATTTTTATTTAAAAATATGCACACAATCTCTTTTATTTGTATGCCTAATATGCAGCAAAAAAGTTGTGTTGTATGCACTTGATATTACTTTTTGCTGTTTAACATTTCTGTCATAAAACAGTTGTCAAATATTAAATGTTTAACTACTTCTCATCTTGCACTGTTTCATTGTTAAAAACAACTGTGCTGCACAAGCGCTGAAAAGTGAAGCCAAAACGTTTCGATTGCCCCAGGTGGCTGGACCCAGTATAGGTCATAAACCCCAACCTCTTCATGTAATCTAATGGGACGTGAGACAAACTAAATAGTCAAATTACACTTAAAATTATTTTTTTTCCAAAGATGGTTTCCGTCATTTTAGGTAGTTCTTATCATGCTGTCATGTAAGAGTTATTCTTTCTAATAAGTTTTATTTTAATCAGTTATTTGATGCTATAAAAACGGGTTGTGGTGTCATGATTGTGATCTTGCAATTGGGTCTGCAGGAGTTTGGGCAGGACTTTGATACCGCGGCTCCACCTCACGATCTACTGCGCAGACTCGGGCTCCAAATTACGTCATTTTCGCAAGATGAGCGCGGCCATACTGAGGCCCTGTCCCAAATTGCACACTTCATGTGCACTTGCGGTCTTGCAGACATAATGGCCGCCGCGTGCGCTTGTCTGTTAAGTCCACGAGACTGTAGAGTGTCCCATTCCTCATTTTAGCTTTCAGAATGGTGCTCGCGAGCCCCTTTGCGGCCACTATGCACCCTCGATCCGCACTTCTGCCGAGCCCGCACTGAGGTGAGCTCCGCAGCAAACTTCTACCCGACAGTCAAAGCGGCATTACTTCATGAAAGTGTGGACTCAGAGGAAGACTGCGAGGGTTTAGGGTGCGATTTGGGACAGGGCCTGATAATGTTTTGGCTTCACTTTTTATAGTGGAAGGAATATATTGCACTTGCACCCATCTGTTCTGAAAACGAGGTGTGTTCAGGCGCATTGTTGGCGCGTTGCTATTTTGAGGCAACTGAAAATGATTGCGCCATTGACCAACTAAAACCTGGTCTAAAGTCAATGGCGCAGTATTTTTTATTAAATTTTTTATAGTTAGTAATATGCGCCTATAAGCAGGTGCACAACACGCGTACACTCTGCTTATTACACACACAGGGACGCGCAGCATCACACAAATGTGCCAAATATTAAAAATGAAAGGATTACAATGTAAGAGATTATTTTTGTGCCCTGTAGATGGTCTGCTCGTGTGTGAGGTTAAAGCCATTTCCTCTATGGAGAACCGCCATGTAAATAGTGAATCCGCATGGTGCAAGCGCAACTGGCTTTTAAAGGGAATGGGAGATGAGACTCTTATTGGTTTATTGCACGTTACGCTCAAAACACAAATAGGGCCTGAGAAGGTTTTGGCTTCACTTATTTTAGTAGAAGGAAGTGGAGACGCGTCGTCCATCTTTTTTTACAGTCTATTGTTAAAAACTGAAGCGTCAATGGAAAACTCGATGTCTGTGGTGGTTACAGCCCTGCATTTAAAGGGATATTTCACCCAAAAATGAAAATTACCCCATAATTTACTCACTCTCAAGCCATCCTAGGTTTTGTAGGCTATGACTTCTTCTTTTAGACTAATTCAATCGGAGTTTGACGTTTGATATCATTGTTTAATCACATTGGAATCGAAACTGTGAATCGAAAAGAATCAGAATCGATAAGCAGAATTGTAATCGGAATTGATAAAATTCAAACGATACCCAACCCTATTAGGGACCAGGGCCACTGCTGGCCAAATGGGTGCCCTAAGCAGAATTGTATTGTTGTGCCCCCTCCGTCAAATATTATGGAAGTAAAAAAAACAAAAAAAACACCTACTATAGGGGTCAAAATAGAACTTTAATAAAATATAAAAGTAAATTAATTCATTAATTGTAATTAAATTATATTATTTACAAATTACAATTGTAGTTCTAGACAGTTACCTATGGCTATGATTTTATTAATACAGTTGTCTGATTGATTTTATAGTCTCAAGCATTCAGAAATCACGCAAAAGAAAATTAAGCCGTTTTACGCACACAGTTTCATTATCAATACTAATATGAGCTTGCATGATTGCTGAATCTTTGCTCGCCAAGATAAGATGACTTAAATTATATTTTGGATGTTTCTTCATAAGCAGAATAAATTTGTGTTCTTTGTCACAGGAAAGGCTCATACTTAAAACTGGGTAAACCAGTGGCCAGGTGAAGTGTACAGCACACCCGGTGAAAACATCACCATGCACTGCCAGACTCATGGAGACATTCAGGAGGCCAAATGTTTAGTACACTGGTACATCACAACTTGATGCAATCAAACAGCAATCGTTACATTCATTTCACAAGAAAATGTTTTCTGTTAAGTTGTACCAGTGATGACAGAAATGATTGTTTTCCAACATAAAATGCACTTGCAAACCACCGTCGTTTGAGGTTTGATATTAATACTGAAACCCGTGGTCCTACTTCATATGGCATAATCGCTGAAAGGAGTCGATTGTGGTTTAGTCACCAACAGATTTGTTAAACTTCAATTAGAAGCTATCAGTGTCTTTGGAAAAAAAAAAACATTTGTTGACATACAGTAGGCGTTAACGGCATACAACATTAATATCAATGGAAATGGGCATAGAGAATATTCTTCATTTTTTTGATGTCTCATTTTTTTCATCAGTTGTGGGATGTTGAATATTATGTTCTATTATATTATAGATATCATTATTATTATACTTGTTATCAACCTCATCCAACACTATGTGGGTACAAATTTACAATTTATAATTTGTGGTTAAACAAAATGAAAGTGTGATACAAGTGTATTTAATTGAATGCATAATGGAATAGTTCACCCAAACATGAAAATTAGCTGAAGATTTACTCACCCTTTGGCCATCCAGGGTTTGTTTCTTCAATTTAGCATTACTACATCGCTTGCTCTCCAATGGATCCTCTGCAGTGAATGGGTGCCGTCAGAATGAGAGTCCAAACAGCTCTACACACAGTGTTGGGGAAGGGAAAAAGAGTAACTTGCGTTACTTATTTGAAAAAGTAACTCAGATATTCTCTTGTAAATTAAAAAGTAATGCGTTACTTTACTAGTTACTTGAAAAAAGTAATCTGATTACGTAACTTGTGTTACTTGTAATGCGTTACCCCCAACACTGTCTACACAGTTCTAAACAAACATGTCGGTGGATTTTGATGTGAGGACTTTGTCCCTGGAGGATGCGTTACTATGAATTATGTACTTTTTTGGCCAGAAGTAAGGGTTTAAATTTAAAACAGCTTAATGATGAATTTGTTTTTCTTACAAAAACATCGCTTAAACCTTCTCCTAAAGAGAGAAAGGGCAAAAGCGACTCACCACATGAGGGAGACATTGACCTTTATGGCCACAGCGGTTTCAGCTCCAGGGCCTTCAGATCAGGTAAAGAGAGAGAGAGAGAGAGAGAGAGAGAG